TATGTGTTATATTTAAGTCTTAAAGTATGGTCATTTTTAGTTGTTTATTCTTACTTTGACTTGTTAGAAAAGAACTTTATTTTAATCATTTTTTTTTCTAGGTATTAAATAAAACTAAAGAATTTGAAGATGCAGTGAGAAAAGTTCTAAAAGATGTTAATTTAGATAATGATGTAGTTGTATCAGTGTTTGAAACAAACATCAGAGTTCTTGGGTAAGTATATAAGATAATAAAGCTGTAATTTTAATACCAAGCTTAGAGTATGCTATTTACTACTTGATAACAATAAAGCAAGAAGTTTCTTATGTTTTAAATGATAAATGTTTGGAAATGATGAAACATAGTAGCTGAGGGATGACCTAGTATTGTATCAGTAACAGATACCAGCAGGCTTTGGAAGTAGTGGTAGACTCCAAGCAAAGAGGATCCATTGTTAAGAAAGAATGATACTGTTGAATATTTGCCATGTTAGCTACATCACAGGTTCTTTATTAGCTCAAGTAGTTTGCTAAACTCAGCTAGTGGTTTTTCAGGGAAGTGGAATGAAACTCAGCTAATAAGATTCTGTCTCATCTAAACAGTTTGCAGTAATGTTGGGATCGCTAGAAATATGGAATTAAAGGATTTTTTAATTTAAGTTTCAGCAGTATTAATTTTTGTATTCAGAGATTACTTTTATGTTACCGTATACTGTTTCTATTGTCAGACCCAACTATTCTTTGATTTAAAATTTATATGTTAAACTTTTTAAAATAACCATATTTTTATAATATACTTAAGGAAAATATAATTCTATATGTGTTATTTATATCTGATCACTTGCTAACTTATATTTAATACAGAGCAGATTTTTTTTTCTTTTTAAACTGTTTCTTATGTTATAATTAAATATGTCACATTAAATTAAAATTCATTGAAATTAAGTCTCTAAAATCTGTTAAAATAAATTTTATTTCTAGAATATTATTCTAAGAAAATACATGATATTTAAGAATACCAAACATCTGACGTTTTTGGCTAAGATTCATCACCTCCATGAATAACTTCTATTAGAAGGATTAGCTCAAGGCTGGTCCTTATAAGGTGGAGGTTAACAATGTCTTAAATGTCCCACTTTTTCAAATTCACACCACTCCATTGTCTCTAATGTCAACTCTTTCTCTTCCCCTCAGTCTTCTCCCTTCCATCTTGGCAGTGGTGGTGTTTATGTGCTGTGGAGTCGGTTCTAACTCTTAGCGACCTTGCATAGGGTTTCTGAGGCTATAAATCTTTACAGAAGCAGAAAGCCTTATCTTTCTCCCGCAGAACCACTGGTAGTTTTGAACTGCTGACCATGAGGTTAGCACCCTGATTTGTAACCATTATGCTATCAGAGCTCCTTCCCTTCCATCTTGTTGTTGTTGTTGTTAATTGCCATCGAGTCAATTCCAACCCATGGCGATCCCGTTTCCAAGAAGCAGCTGGTGAGCTTGAACCACCAGCCTTGCAGTTCAAATGACTTTGTAGTCTGACACTTTAGCCCACAGCGCCAGGGTTCTATTATTCATTTCAGTGTCTCACAGAACTCATGAACCATCAAGGAAATGGTTTATGTGGTTGTGGAGGCTGGCAAGTCCCAAATCTATGGGTCAGGTGTTAGTCTAGTGGCCTTTCTTGACTCTCTTGATCTGACAAACCCAAATCCTCAGCTGTTGGCTTACAAGGCTGCCTCAGACAATAAATAGGTTGCTGGCTACAGGGCTAAGGAACCCCAAAATGGCATGTCAGAATGTAGACTGTTGCCTCACAGGGCAGCAGAAGCTAATGAACCAGGTCAGAGAATGGGCTGCTATCTTCAGTCCAAAGAATAGGAGGTCATATGAAGATGAGACAGATACAAGTTCTAGAAAGCAAGAGAGAGAATTTTGCCAGATCATTCCTATAGACCCAACACAGAACACACTACCAAGGAAATGGAACGATGGTGACTTGATTTATACCCTCTAATACGGCAGTAACTCAAGATACAGCCCACCCTAATCCTGTCTTATTAAATAATGGATAACTCACTCCAGAATAAGACCATACCCACAGGCACAGAGACTAGAATTTATAAGCTGTCACATTGGAAGAGATCCGTATTTGTGCCCATTCCAAAGAGATGACCCATCGGAATGCGAAAATCATCAGACAATGTGTTTGATATCCCATGCAAGTAAAGTTTTACTAAAGGTAATACAGAAACAGCTG